TGATGGTGGTGGTGGTGATGATGATGATGGTGATGGTGATGGTGGTGTTGGTTAAGGTGATGGCGGTGGTGGTGCTTATGGTGATGATGCTGCTAATCGTGATGGTGATGCTGATGATGATGATGATGGTGATAGTGATGATAATGATGATGATGATGATGATGATGATGATGATGATGGTGATGATGATGATGGTGGTGGTGGTGGTCGTGGTGATGTTCGTGATGGTGAGCACGATGATGGTGAGGATGATGTTGATGATGATGAGGAGGAGGCTCGAGGGTCGAGGATCAAGGACAGCATCAAGGACAGTTGTTTGACCAACCCTCCTGTGGAGAGTAGCGGCCTCGTTTTTGAATTCGCAGCGCCGCGCGCACAAACATTTCGAAGTCAGGATATTGGATTGCAGTTTGCATTTCTTTCTTGCAGTGTAGGGTCCAAGCGCGGCAGGCGGCCAGTTTCCGCAAGTTGCTCATGAATGCTTTGCCTATTCTGCCGTATACCCCTCTCTTGGCTACCTGTGCTGTGAGATTGATGGGGATCGCGAGAGCCGCCACCAACATGGACTTCATGTGTCTCAGCGGTACGGGCGAGCAGCACTTCCATCGAGAGTCCGAGGCGCAATGGAAGAATATCGAGCCAGACCGGTGGTGCATCCCATCGGGCTGGCGCCGAGGACCACACCAACAAGTCAGCAGGATGTGCCGTAGCAAGAGAATCCCACGACGCAGTGTTGCAAATATCTGGACTGCTCCGCCTGCAGGACGTGGATTAGCTATCAGGGTCCGGAGCAAAATCTATGATTTTTGTATTTGCAGTGTGTATTTCCCGCCTCCCCCTCACTACGCCAATCAAGTTCGAGCTTATCAAAAACTTGTGACATTCCCATTGAATCGCTGCGTAACTTACCCGTCTGGGCTGCACATCGATGCCTACCTATACTTTGTCTTGACCTTAATACAGGACTAGGATTTCAACGACGAGATGGCTCAGAACAATGTGATCCCATTGATTCAAAATGCATTGGTGGTCAGATCTCGCAAGTTCGACACAGATACGCACCAGAGGTCCTACTCAAGTTTATGGAAGATCTCGACATGATTGCCCTACAGACTTCCCAGGGAGCTGGTGCTACATACTACAGGAATTCTGGTAATGGTCCACAACTCGATAACATCCTACTACCCCGATGTATGTGCACGTCCACGGCAACAGTTTGACCACTACGACGCCTCGCGTGATCATATACCAGTCCATGCCCGAATCCACTATTCATTTGCCGATGCCATTGGGTTATGTAGCCGAATCGACGAAGATCCGTGCATTGTTTTTTACCCGCAGGTTCTTCCTTGGCGTCGTGAATCATTGATGAACTCACTCAGGCGTGGCACTTATGGAGCAGATTTCTTCCACGCAGTTGAGTGTCGTATTACACAGGGGGAAGGTCGATTTGCTTAACTGCGTCGTGAAGAGCAGACTCCTAATGCAGTATAGGGGCTGTTTCTCAAGTCTGTTGGCGAAGAGGGCAAGCGTTTTTTTTCACGGAAGCACCTGAACCGCGTCCACGGTATCATAAGCGAGCACAGCAAGTTCTTGGATTCATGAAAGCACGACGCAAAGTACGATGGCAGTTCTTGAATGAAGATCCCAAGCCAGAAGCTTCTCTCATTCGAAAACCAAATTCATGAGCAACTCTCTTCGGCGCATGCGTCGTCAAGGTGTCCGTGAATGGCGCGAAGAACTCACAACTGAACTCTTGAAGGTGGATCGATTTGGACCAAAAGCTGAAGTAGCACGCATATCTCGATTGCTTTCCGCTCGAGGCACAGGACCCCGGGGTTGCAATTGCCGTAGAGCAGTATAGGTCCTTCCGACAGCCGGAGACCTCAAGCAGCGATTTCAATTTAGTTCGGGTGAAGGTGGCATGGGTGCTGAGATCATGGACTGGCACTCACATGTTGACCAATGTTTGTATGGAGATGGTGGAGTTGAATCTAGTGATAGCATGTCGCCTTTCACACGCTAAGGACTAGAATGGTCTACGCACCATTTAATGCTCATTGCCCAACATTTCCGCGCAGCAGCAACACGTAAAGCTTCTCCGCCGTGGTCGCTACCGTTGGAAATTTGTTTGATGATATTTCGCCCTTGTCGGCGTACTTCAAAAATTTCGAGGTCTAGGATGCGAAGCTCCTGAGATTGATTTGCGCAGTGCACGTTATTTCCTACATGTAGGATGCATGCGATCCACTGAATTACTGAAGTACCGTTGGTTTGGAATCTCTCACATAGCGCGGCTATCACGTACAAGCGAGTTGTTCATGTACTATGCCCCTTCGGGAACGCGTTCATCTCGTCATGTCCGTCGCCAGCTCATCGCAACATCGAACATCATGTTCCCATCGGTGCGTTGCGCGACGTAGGAGGAAAACACCCATCATGGCACAGCCATCGATGGGACGGCGTCTTCGACGTTTCGGCATCCTGTTTCTTAGAGAACACAGGGGCGAGACGAAAGCATTCGGCAGGCCCGATGGACATTTTCGCACGCCCCAGGGCCGGGGCCATGCAAGGGGGTCATTGGACAGTTGGACAGTCAAAGTTTTCACCGGGGACATGGGTAATGCATTTGAGGAGATTCACTAGTTGTACAGGCAGTCTGCGGATATTTCAGCTAGCTGGCGCATCGTTGACATACCGAATCCCGACTCTCAGGCTCCATAGCTCCAGCTACGTAGATGATGCGACTCAAGTAGTTGTCTCGGCCGGGGAGGAGGATAGTAACGACGCGGGCCTCGAACTAAGTAACAAGTTCATGAAGTACGATCACGTGCCCAGAACGCGCATGCACGAGCACAAGTACAATATCTGAACAGCAGTAGCATCACTTGGAGCACGCAGTAAGCATGTTCATCAGCTTTCGCACAGGTCAATTACCAGCTGCAGGTAAAGTTAATGATCGTGCTCTGCTGCTCGGAGGTATTCTTCGGGCCGGTTCCACGTTTCAGAGCGGGCTGCCCTGGCGGATTGCGGCAGTTGACTCAGGCTGCGCTGCTATGGGCCGTTACTGGTGCCAGCCCAAGTTGCCGCCAATCGAAAGAAAGGCAGCCTTTCTCAGTCGTGTTCTTGGCCCCGCTCTGTCACGAATTGATAGGTTCGTTTCCGCTGCTGCGCAGATTGAGAAGCTTCAGATGCGGGTCTTATTGCATGCTCGCAGGGCCATGAGAGGACCAGCCACTACTGACGGAGGTGAACGCCCAGTCTCCCTGCCCAATTCCCAGGCATTCAGATTTTGGCGCTTCGCGCCCTTGGAAGTGGAGGCGAGATGTCGGCGTATGAAGTGGCATCACGCTTGGGTCTCGGCACCCGATAGGCATGCTTCTGAATGGGGAGCCCTGTTTGGCAGCATGCAAACCGAGATCGAACGCCGGCATCACATCGTCGACGACCAGGGGAAACTCGCCAGTGTTGCCTGTCCATGGGCCCATCTTTTCTTATTGGGCACCAACTCGCTGGCCGACTGCCACTCGATCTATTTCAAAATGATGTTTTAATTGAATGGCTTGCGCAGTTTGATGCAAAGAAGCTTCGGGCTCACTGGCTCAGTGTAAGAATCCCTCCATATTATCATCGCGCTGCCCCCCGGGCAAATAATGCCAGCACCCAGGGCCAGGGCGCGGTGGGCGAACGTAGGTGCACGGTATGAGGCCGCGCCAGCACGTCCTACACTCGTCGACAACTTCTCGCGCATCTTCATCATCATCACGGTTTACGAGCAGTGCTTCCACAGGCAGCTTTTACGAATCAATGTTTTGCGTGAGTTTCGCTCTTCGAGAACGCTAGCAGCGCGTATAAGAACCTTGTTCGGTCGTTCAGGACAGGGATATGTGATATGTACCGCATCCAGGAGCACGGCATACCAGGTCCGTCACGATGAGTCGCCATGCTGTTGCACACTCTCTCAGGATCAAGTTCACAATGCAGCTGAGCTCCAAGTTTATCTTCGGTCGCGCTTTCATGCGCCCCCTCTTGTCGACGATGGAGGTCGAGGCGGCGCCCGATTGGCTCAATATCAAGCGCGAGGCCCCCGACGGCGACAAGCCAGACAAGGGGGGCGAGAAGTGCGGCAAGCTCCAGAGGCGCAAGAACCAGGTCGAGAGCGACGCTGTCGGCGGCAAGGTGGGCCCACTGGCGGCACTCATCACAATCGCTGCGAAGCTGTGCCTCAGCAGCAGTCGTGAGAGGCGGAGCTTGCCGGCGCCAACTACATCTGCTTCTTGCCCCCCGCCACGGTAACAACCGCGGCCAGTCTCAAGCAGGCGGGGGCGGACTACAACGCGACGTGCAAGTCCGAAGGCAGCGATCATCAGAACGGACCTCCCAGGCCACGCATTTTCATGGCGCCGTCGCAGACGCATTGTGACATCGAAGGGCGCCAACCTCCCCGAGGGCCCCAAAGGCCTTGCTACTGCGACTAGCAGAAGCACGACGGCCCCCATATGTACAAGCTACAGTTTATGGCCTCGGCGCAGCAGCAGGCGGCGCGCGTGGGGGGCAGCGAAGCCAAGGAGGTAATGCCGCTCAACGATGCCCTCTGCCACCTCATGCTGCATCTGGGAGGCAAGTTCAAGGCTGGCAGCGCTCCCCGGGGAGCCCTCGAGCGAGACGCGGAGACCCCCCCCCGCGAAGATAGGCGTCAGCAACCAGAGCGGATCAGGTCAGGGATTCCAAGAAGAAACAGAAGGGGGGAAGGCCAAGGAGGCCGAATCCGATTTCTGAGAGCTCGACTGCAGTCTATTGCGGGCTCGGAGAGATTGATGAGTATGTTGCAGCAGGGGCAGCTGAACAATACTATATGGACTCGCTTGCAGAGTAGATCCGCCGAACCTATTCTGATATACACTGTGGGTGAGAGGTTTTGGTTCCGATGTTTCATGTTTCAGGCGAAGCCGTCGAAACCGAATTAGCCTTGGAGGATCTGCTAAGTAGAGTTGCCAGAGTTCAGAAACTCGCCACTGATCTCCCTCTCGCCCCTGTTGGTTCCCCTTCGCCCTTCCCGCTCCTGGGCCCCTCTGCCCTCACGAATCCGGATCCCACAGAATAGGGGGAGATTTGTGGGATAGCGAGTTCATGACTATGGAGGGCGCCCTAAAGGCTTTCCCCAACGGCCGTCCCTTTGTATGCCAGAGGGGTTCCCCAGCGAAGCCGCTGGTAGGCGTTCTCAGGCGCAACACAGAGCCACTCCATATTATAAGACTGTTGGCAGAAGTAGTCGGTGTTGTCCATAGGGCTCCAGATTCGAAGCTATGGCTCGCACGTGGTCTTGTCGTGTCTTGTCCGCGTCCTCCTCCTCCAACTCACCTCCCCCCCCTCACCTCACCTCCTCCTTTTCCACCTCTCCTCCTCCTCCTCCTCCTCATCCTATTCGCGCTTCTGCTTTCCGTCGGCAGCTCATCGTCCCTCTCGCTCTCCTCCGGCTCCTCGTCCTGCTCCTCTCTCAGGTCGGCGCGCACCTCCCACGCGTCCCTCCACCCCATACAGTGGAGGCCCATGCCAAGAAACACCCTGCTTGCCTCCAGGGTGCCCTGGGTGTATTTTGTGTTGGCGGTTTTGCCATGGAGTGCGGGACGTTCCCGCACCAAGAACCGATGGACGTCCTGCGGCATCGGGGTTGCGTTTCTTGTGGCAGCTTTCTTGTGGCCAAGCCTCTCGTGGGAGCCGCGTGTGTGTCCTCGGAATGCCGTCCTCGGAGTGCACTGGCGTGGGCAAGCGTGAGGAAGTCCACGAGACGGCGCAGAGCTGGTTTCCTGTGGACTGGCCCCCGCTGCGGTGAGCTCCAGCCGCTGCCCCAGTGTGAGGGCGCTCGCGTGGCGGCACCTCGCCCCCAAGTCGGCACGACCCTCGCTCGGCTCCTGTCCCCCGGGGAGCTCCGCCTGCGGCCCCAGCGAGGGCGCTCGCGCGGCAGCACCACGCGTGTTCTTCGTCGCATCCCTCGCGCGTGCCGTGCCCCGAATGGGATCGCCCCCTGGATCTCCAGAGGGCGACCTCGCGTGCCGCCCCTCCGCCCGTTTCGGCCCGCACCTCGCACGTTTCGTGCACCCGAAGGATCTCCACCGAATGCCCCACCTGGGCACAGACGCGTGCCGCCGCCCGCGCATCTCGGCGCACCTTCACACGCCTCGGGTCCCGATCGGGAGCTCCACCTACGGTCTTAATTGCCGGCGCATGCCGCCCCACCCAAAATCATAGGAGCAGGAGGAGGAGGAGGAGGAGGAGGAGGAAGAGGAGGAGGAAGAGGGGGAGGAGGAGGAGGAGGAGGAGGAGGAGGAGGAGGAGGAGGAGGAGGAAGAGGAAGATAATGAGGAGCGTGACGAGGAAACGAGAGGAGGAGGAGGAGGAGGAGGAGGAGGAGGAGGAGGAGGAGGAAAAGGAGGAGAAGAAGGAGGAGGAGGAGGACGAGGATGATCGGTAGAGAAAAGCCCCTGGAGGTGCCAGGCTGGTGGTGCTCGCTGGAGTCTCCCGAGTTCCGGCTCGGGTGCGCGCCGCAGCGGCTGCCCGGGTCGTCGCAGGAAACCGTCTCTTTCGGCCGTTGCCGCCTCGCCTCCTCCTCAGCTCACGGTGAAGTCGGGCACTTCCCGCTACAGGAGGAATATTCCAAAATAGTCAAACAAATAGTCTGGGGACGAAATTCGTCGGACTATTTTTGCTTATTTGGCATTTTCTATTATTTTTGTTCGCCCAAAATCCGCCTGTAGGGAGTCATGCCCGACCTGCGCTTACGTGCCAGGGGACAGACGCTTCCCAAGCATTTTTTTTCGGCGGCGGACCAGGGGGGGAAGTCGACTGACCGCCGCAGAGGGTCCTTAATCTCGCTGCCGCCCTCGCATGACGACATGACGACGAAGACGGTGGAGGTCTCAGCAGTGGCCGCCGCGGGAGGGGAACTATGTACTCAGTACAGGGCTCGTTTCGACTCCTCCGATTCAATTCGATTCGATTTCGATTTCGATTTCTTCCGATTCCGATATGATTCGATTTCGGATTCCGATTTGGGATCCGTTGTCCCATTGGAGGCCTATTAGCCAGCCTATGTCTGCCGATTCGGCTTTTCCCGACTCGACCACCGATTCCCGTCGATCCGATCCATGTCGATCGCCTATCCGATTTGTCGATTAGATCCTGGGCTCTCCTGCCAGTATTGTTTTCGGTCCCAATCCTTCAATGGGCCCGCGCAGACAAATAAGGCGTTCCCACTCTAAAATGGGGGGTGTTAGAGACCTTTTGCGGCTAGAGCTCCCAGATGTGGCCCGAGTAGGTGGGGTCGGAGGGTCGCGCCGCATCGCCGATGCACCTCCTTCTCCTCCTCCTCCTCCTCCTCCTAGTCCGCTTCCTCCCTCCTTCTCCTCTTCCTCCTCCTCCTGCTCCACATGGGAAAACACCACCCAACAGACGACCACCAAACCAGATGGGCTCATGGCGGCACCCTGGAAACGAAAGGCAGGCATGACGAAGCAATTACTGAAGCAAACAGAGAGAGCCATACGAGACGAGCAAAGAGCCGTCATCAAGGCTGGACTTCCCCGTTGCGCGCCCACACCGCCAGCTACAAGACTGACATACCGCCGCCGTGCACCAAGGACCACGAGGTTGCAAGAGAGTTGTCCATACCTGCTGCAGCACCGGTGGAACCAAGACCTAACCTTACGCCCATGTCAAGACCGACAGGTACTTCGACACAGGCCATCCTACACACCAGCAGCGGACACAAAAACAATAGTGATGTGCAGCAATGGATAGAATACTTCACCCCCAACGACAACAACATCGTACTACTGTCCATCGACATCACCCGCGACGAAATCAAGGGCGACCCAACGAAATAGGACACCATACAGATCTGGAGAGACCAACTACTACGCGGCCGCGCGGCCGCCATTATAGCTGGACCACCACGCGAGGCATGGAGCGGGTACCAAGCGCGACCTCTGAGGTGCCGACATCAACGTTGGGGGCTACAGCGCCTGTCCCTGAAGCAGTCCGAACAACTACACCGCGATAACCTTCTACTGCGCACTATTTTTGTCTTTGCATACATATGCATCAACACGAAGGTCCCCATGATCATGGAGCACCCCGTCACAGTCAACGACGGGAGAGATACAGCAAGCTGCTACGATCAGAAATGACACATGGTTGGGATCGATGGGCTGGACGTGCTTACCTTCGACCAATGCATGACTGGACATGTAGCCGCGAGACCGGGTACATTATTCATAATACAGGTACCAGAAGTACGACGGACGATAACACTACTACCCAACCACAGAAGATGCAACCATGGCACAGGACACCACTACCATTCAAGTGGACGGAGCAATGGCGGCAACGGGGAAAGAGCTACCTCCAGGACATACACCACTGAGATGCGCAGGCTACTGGCTCACCCCATCATGGACGCCATCCATCACGGATGGACCCAGCCACGGGACATCGAAAGCTGGGACATGGAAGGCGACGTGATGAAACCCTACATCCTGCTGGGCCCGTACTACTACGTCTAACGGTGCAGCGTACTATACGATTAAGTACTTCAGGGGGCAATGGGCACACCGCGCTGACGACGGGCGGTGGCCACCCCGCACTGCGCGGGCCACGGCGGTCCATTGCATAGGGTACAGACAGTGTCCTCAGCAGTTGTCCTGGCACGCCTTCCCGTGGCGTCCGGTCGCCTGTCCTGTAGAAAAGACGCTACCCCCATCACGTCGCCTGCGCGCCACTCGAAAACAACACCTGACATGTCTTTATCCGTAGTGCAGCCTCGGCTCAAGAGCTCAGCCCATGCTGATCAGCGTGCCATTGGTGCGCCCATTGCCAAGCGCAGCGCGCCGTGAGGCGTCCCCTGGATCTACATCTTCAGCGGCTTTCAATACATAAGCAGGACCAAGACGAAGACATCTGGATGCTTGCAGACGCCTTTGGCAAGCTACTAAAGTTCACCGACATCAGCGGAGCCAAGGGCTCATAATACGCCAACCCACGGCGAGTTGCAGTTATCGGCGCAGCTCCACGCGAGACGCGGAGCGAGGCTCTACCTGAGCTCCAGCAAGAAGGGGCGCCGACACTCATGTCCGACCGCAAGGGCTACGACAACAAGAAGGTGCTCATATACACCCTTGGAGACACAAGATCACAGCCGCACGGAGCTGCCCCTTGCACGGGCATCGTCAGGACATCGCAAGAAGCCAACGCGTCTGGCATCCGCACGAAACTACACGTACGTCTACATCGACCTGGGTTACATCAACGTTCCCGCGGCTTCACCTCGCCGCGTCGGGGGGGGGGGGGGGGGGGGGTGCTGGAAGGGCATGGTCAGGGCAGCTGGGTCACCATGTTTAACCACTTCATGGTCCAATCCAACAACGAGATGTGGGCCGATGCAGATCAATGGACGGGCGGACCGGGCACTTGCCCGCATTGCCGCCCCGCCGCAAAGCATCGCGCAAGAGAGGGCGCCGCTGGCGACCGCGACCCGGGGAAGATACCTGTCCACAACCCGGAGTGTCGCGACATTCAGTAGCTGGCAAGCACTGGCCCACCATTGCTGCAAGTTCCACCGCGGGAGAAAATTTGACGAAGAGCCCTTCGCGAACCTCCGGGTGTTACGCGTCCTCAAGAAGCAGGGCATGGACAAGCGCCACCACGTCGAAGAGAAAGCGCGCAAAGCTATCCGCGGCAACGTGGAGAGACACAGCCCGAAGGTATACATCGCGGCGATCGCCGACACCTACGGCGCCCTGCGCCCTGCCTTCGAGATTGATATACTAGCCGCGCATGCAAGAGACATCGTGGAAACACGCGGAGGAGGATCACTACATCTATGCGCGAACAACTGCATCCCCCTGTCGATGGCCACCACATTACTTCACAAACAACCGGTGGATTATATTGCGACGAGACGGACCTCGGAGGACAGCGGGTACCATTCATATCTATGACACCCGCGGGAACTCGCACTCTTATCAGCATGGACTGGCACATGTCGATCGCCACCGCTACCAACAAAGGAGATCGACCACGTGGCGATCCTAAAGCTGAGCGCACCCTACAACGACCTCCCGCGATGGCGCTCCATCGTCGGCAACGCCCTCATCGAATGCCCAGCTTAGGTGCTGCAGTGCTGCAGGAGATCACTGCTACCTCTGAGACAGGTACAGCGAGAATCGACGGAACCACTGACGTCCACGCAGGGGCAAACAAGCGGGATGGCATCGTCCACCAAGCCGACTTCACCCCAGACGGAGATGCGCTAACTGAGATAAGACAGCGACTTAACTACGCAGCAAAAGGATACGAGCAACCTACCCGGGCAGGATGCACACAAGGCAAGGCAGTACCTCATCGAGGACGGGGACAGCCATAGTACACGTCATCTGCTTCAGCACTACCAACAGACACGCAACGCAGGCTCTCAGCCCATCAACTAGACCCAGGGCTACGTCCCCGATTGGCATGCGGCCTTTCCAGAAGCAGGACTGCAACAAGCACAGCGGCCAGCTCGCACTGTCCCAACACATGCTGGCCTGCAGCTTATCCAGCGAAGATCTACACCACTGGCCCGACAAACCATCCCACTACCTATGCCGATTGTCTTCCAGCTCATATGCAACCGGGACGCGACTCCGACGCCGAACCAGCCGCCGCCGCCTGGTCCACCCCCAGGCAGAGCCCCCATACAAACCGCTACAACGACGTCAGGGACCAACCTATGCTTCCGCAGCCCACGCGCCCCACCAATTTACAAGCAAGGGGGCGCCCTGCGACCCGACGCATCCCGCAACGCTAAGCTGCCACCAGGCTGGGCTGCGCATGCTGACGTAAACCGAAGCCTTGCATACTGCCCAAGCTGGAGACAGGCGCCGCCCAGTGGAAGCCCCCGCGCGACGTCAACTACGAACCATGCTGCGCTCGGCAGCAAACCGGCCAGGACGGCTAGGCTTTCAGCATCAACCAGGACGGCTGCTTCTACTGCAGCCTCAGGCCGAATCCCCCCCCCCCCCCCCCCCATCCCACAACGACCCCCCCCCCCATGAGCCAGGGCGCCCAGCCAAACGAGAGCAGGCCGACGAAGCCATGACACAAGCCGTCCACGACCTACTCGACAAGATGCGAAACGAATACCAACGGGAACCAGACTCACGCGAATGGGTTGACCGGGCACATGTATGGTACTGCGATCACGCAGGTGGCCCATTCTTCTCCCACCCCAAGGTCGGCCAGGACCCCGAGTCATTCCTCATCTTCGGTAGCAACATGCTCGTGGTCGCACCCGTGCGAGAGGGGGGCCCGCGCCCTCCACGCGGAAGCCCTATCGTCCATCGCACGAGCGCGCACGCAGCCCCAAGCCAATCCTGGCACCACATGGCGACCACAGCACCTTCAGCGCGAGATCTGCATCGAGATACTACCGACGCGAGAGCCATCCTCGCAGGGAGAGAGAACCCACAAGGAGGAAACTACAATGATGGCAGCAATCAATAACACAGCCCACCTACCGGGCACTGGCACACCTACGAGCAGCGGCGATCTAATAATCAGCGCGCCGCCCACCATCGCACCGTCGCGGGCGACCCCCAACCCAGACCACCAAGCATCCCCCCGCCGCGGGCCCATCTCAGGAACGGAACCAGTGAGGTCCAACGCCCCGCCCACCCTGTCGACCGTCAAGGGAGACAGGGGGGCAGCCAGCGGGCAAGATCGACCACGAGGGCAAGTCCGCACAGCAGGAGCACGATCCAGGGGGCAACACATGTCCATTACCGAAGCCAGCAGCTGCGACCCGACGTCGGGCAACAGCACTCCCGCAGGAAGTGACAACCAACCACCTGTCATACAAGCCGAACCAGAGAAGCCCACTGGATGGCCCCCCATCACGACGACCACCCACGAGAAGGCCAACCCCGACGCAACCACCTTCCCCATGGGAGCTACCATGCGCCACCGTACCACGCCAATCTGGAGGACTTCATCGCACACGGCACCACCGCGGTCAACGAGGGCGACGAGGTCACAATCGGGGCACCATCACCCAGACCAAGAACATGCGAAGTCCCAAACAAGCCCTGATCTCATATACCATCACCGAGTACCGCTCCCAATGCAATGACATTCAGGAGAAGCTCGACGCCCTCGCTACGGCTGCAGGGGAACAACATGGCAGGTACAACCAGGCCTTGGACAACCAGATGGAAACCACCACGGCCAAGGACTCCGTTTCCAAGTTCATCGACAGGCCCAGCGACCACATCAACCGAATGCGCCCCATAACCGCTGGCGCTAGCCATCCTTGCCATCGCCCTCGCAGGCCTAGACAGCCGAACGTGATGCCCGCGCGCCCGACGCCGTCACGGAACAACCTGCCACGTCCTTCCAACCTATCCGACCTACGTTCCAACCGACGTCTTTCATTCACATTTTGACTCTTTCTACGACTCACACGACTCGACCTCCCCCGAGCGATCCAGGATTACCCCACGTTAGCGCCGTTGAGCTGAGGCCAAGCGTCAGGGTCGGACCGACCTTACAGCGGCTGACCGTGCGACCCCGTCAGCTCACAACGGGCGCACCTACCTGCGGCAGAGCACTGACGAATGGCGGTAATACCTTGGATACAGCGACTGCTTCAATTGCACCGCCTACATCACTTGTGTGATATGATTCCACATGCCTCCCCCGACCTTCACCACCTGCCTGGTCCCGCTAACCTTCGCCCCCCCCCCCCCTCCCCTCGTGTGGAGTCGGGATGGGCGGGCATAGCATGAAAGGTGGAAGGGGCGGAGATGGAGACCTGCTCACCGCGCCGCCCCCGCCCACCCACAAGCGCCGAGAGTCCAGTTCGCACCGCGCATTTTTATTCTTTCTTCACCAGTGCACATACATGGCCTTTCCAGTTAGCATTCGTGCTCCCGCACACTACATTCAAGGCCATTCCGCCCCTCCTCTTTTTGTTATCCACTTCATCTTTCAGGCCGAGCGAAGGCGCAGTTAGGTCCCAACTCCAAAACAGCATGGCAAATACACCACATCTTACAGGGCATGGTAACTGCATCCCCCTGCCTCACCCCAAAAGAGCAGGCTACTGCAGCCACCTCCGCGCCGAGCCCTTTTTTTTGCACCGCCTCTGGCATTCAGCTCCTCCTGTTTTTTTTTACACCGCCTCCATGACACCTTTTCAGACCGGGCGAAGGCGTTGCAACGCCGCCTGTCGCATCCCGTTTAGACGCGCAACCACCTACCGACCTGCCTCTGCACCCTCCCGGCTCCACTTCCTGTTTACCTTTGCGGCCTCCTATACCTCCTTCCCCCTTCATTGCGAACACGGGGAAAACCACCCGCAAGGCCCAGAGGCGAACGCTCACCTCCTCTTGCCCCTTCCCCCCCTCCCCTCTGGTGCCCATTCCTCCCCGTCGTCCTTCCTCTCCCTCGCCTCTGAGCGTTCGCCTTTTTGAGTTACAGGTGAGGCCCTTGCCACCTTGGCTGTTCTGTTCAGGCGCCCCACTTCTCCACTCTTATCTAGGTCATTATGTTACCTTGTTTCTTACATCTTACATCTCACCCTTTCCCTAATGCGTCCCCGCCTCCCCGCTGGGCTTAGCCGCGGGGAGGTGGCTGGACAGGTGCGCGCGGCTACAGGGCCACCTTCGTCAACCATGAGTCAGTCAGTCAGGAGGAGAAGGAGGTGGAGGAGGAGGAGGAGGAGGAACAGGAGGAAAAAGGAGGAGGACAGGAGGAGGATAGGGAGGAGGAGGAGGAGGAGGAGGAGGAGGAAGAGGAAGAGGACGAGGAGGTGGAGGAGTTTTGCGAAACAAACAAGATCATCGCGAGCCCGGGGTCTTTCGGGCTCCCCAGATTTTGCGCCGTGCGTTCCCAGTGTGGTGCCCTCGCTGCCGACGTCTCGTATGGCGCCCCCCGCGCGGACAGGGGCCAGGGCCCCGCCGACGGGGACTTTTCGACAAGCCAGGACCTTGGCAGGGCTCAGTTCGATTCCTCCGAGTCCATTCGATTCGATTTTGATGGTTTCCGATTCCGATTCGGTTCGATGTCGGGTTCCGATGTGGATTCCGATTCCTCAATGGAGGCCTACTAGCCCACCGATTTCAGCCGATTCGACTTCTTCCGGCTTTGCTGCCGATTCCCGCCGATCCGATTCATTTCGATCGCCGATCCGACTTGTCGATTCGATTCTGGGCACTCCTGCCTTGGCGCGCCCCATAAAAATCCAAGGCTCGACCAAAACGCAGCTTAGAGTTAGGTTTGAACTCTTGTCTTGTTTTCTTTGTTGTTTTCTTTTCCATTGTGCCTCCGTTGTGTTGTTCGCTCTTGCTCACACCGCACTCTGCAGCCGTAGGCCGACACGTTCTACCTCATTCGCTCCCTCTGGTCTCCATGTTCCGAGTCGTGGCCTGCGTCGGGCAGACGGCAACCCGGGGTAACAACCATAGGGGGATCGAGGACTGCGAAAGAGGGGACCTGCCGGGCCCGTGGGCTGCCTGGGGCTGCCACCGCGGGCCCAACAAAGCGCACGGAATGTGTACTTTTCTTCACCCTACGTTTACTGCCCCCCCCGTTGACGAATACTCTCTGGACGACGGTCAATGGTGAGGAACCATGTTGCCAAGAGGCTTCCTGATGTCTGAAACTGTTTTATACAGGTCTTAAACATGTAAAACAAACATCGGTTTTTTAACTTTTCTGGGACGCTTCTCCAAACCATGAAACACAGTTTAAATTAAATGATCGGATTGTTAAGGTGTCCATTTTCATGGCATCCACAACGAATACCCTGACTGCAATGCCCTTGTTCCAGGGACCCTGCAGGAGTGGTTCGCTGAGATCGTCGGCCTGCTACCGGACACAGGCTACCGCGTCCTGGCCCGCGCCGTGCCGGTGGAGAACGCGCGGAAGGGCCGCCCGGGGCCCTGGCTGGAGCACGAGTTCCGGACCGCTGGGGCCCAGGCGGAGAAGGGCTGGACGCTCATTCTGGGGACCTTCCTGGAGACACTCGCTCCACGCGCGCGTCGAAGCTGCGTCGAACGTCCGCCGATATGAGTCGACCCTGAGTCGACCCCGAATCGAACCTGAGTCGAACTTGAGGCGAAGTTGAGCCGAACTGGGGTCGAACAAGAGTCGAACAGAGCCGTTAATTTGGTGGGCCCCTGGAAGGTCCCCGCCACGAGCAGCTAAGAAGGAGACTGGGCCCAGGGGCGGAAGCGTCGATCAGATTCCCGTTTGGGGGGGCCTGCCCAGACCCCCGACGTCATCATGACGTCGACCCCCCGTGAGATCTCGAGCCATTCCCCAGGACTGGGTTTTCGTCCTGAGTCGTTGTTTGACGGTCTCGAGGCCCGGTGAGGGCCTCCAGAGGCCGAGAACAGCCCAAACCCGTCGAAACCCCTCGCGTCGTGATTTTTTCATTGCGCGAGGGGGGCTGGGTTGGGCTCACTTACAGTTGGCGCCCCTGTGCGGTCCTGCTGCGGCTCTCGTGCGGCTTGCGTCGGCGGAGGGCCTCGGCGCAGCATGTCGACGCAAAGCAGCGGGTGCGGCTGGCTCCAGGGAGGGTCCCTCCCCCAGGACGAGCAGCTGGCATCGGCCCCTGGTGTGATGGGCCTGTTGTCCACCACCACCACCACCATAAGTTGGAGAGGGGAGGGGGTCCTCCCCCTCTTCTTCTTCCTCCTCCTCCTCCTCCTCCTCCTCATCATCATCCTCCACCTCCTTCCCCCTCCGACTTGTGGTGGTGGTGGTGGTGGAAAACAGGCCCGTCAGTGATCGTGTTCTGACTCATTGTTTTGCCGATCGGCGCGGGCCTGCGTCCCCCCCCCTCGCCCCTTCCTTCATGGAGTAGATCTCGGCTGTTCTCGGCGCCCGTTTCGAGCAGGTGGGGTCTCCCGCATCGGACGCACTGTTGCAAACAGTCGCGCTAAACTAGCCAGAGGTCTGGAGCCAGAACCCCCCGCCTCCCCCCTCCCCTTCCGCCCAGTGTCGAAACGCCGAATTCGAAAACGCGGACCTGCCCGTCCACGCATCTCTAGGATTACGTCGGGCATGTCCTTGCACAGGAGGAGTAGTCAGACATATAGTAAAAACTGCCAGGGGACGATTTTCGATTATTGTTAAACAATGTTAGATGTCTTTTTTTGGGTATCGACCTCTACTCGTAGAGCATCAGGTTCCAAGAACGAGCATCTGGCATCGACCCCTACTCGTCCACTCATCTTCAGGCTTAAATCGGGCCAGTCCCTCTGCAGGAGGAATAGCCAGAAACAAACACAAATTAGCCAGGGGACGATTTTCTGATTATGTTTGACCATCTGAGAGTTTTTTGTTGACAATGTTTCAGTTTTCTTACAAAACCCGCCTGTAGGAGGAGATGCCCGACCTAACTCTAGGCCTCCCACATGGGGTCCGAGTAGACGGGGTCGGAGGATCGCGCCGCATCGCCGATGCGCCGACGATGCGGCTCGATGTGGAGCCCGTGTTTCCTCACGCAGACGTCGCCGATGCATCGCCGATGCATCGGCGATGCATTAGCGATGCGGTGGGATGTTTCGACCCCATATACTCGGACCCCATCTAGGAGGCCTCTATCATCGCCGATAGGGGACTGATAGCCCTCCCCGGTCAGAATGCGGGGCGTCGCACCGCCGATCTATTGGCAAAGTATCGCGGATTCAGCGGTTCTCCCTTTCTGAGTTGGTCCCCCCTATCGCTTCCCCTCGTACGAGAGTCGAGGTCTCTGGGCGTGCGTTGGGGTGCGATGCGGTCAGGCTTCCGAGAGACCGCGAAAGCCCTTCTGGGGACCTCGCTGGGGTTCTCGCTAGCGTTGGGGACCCCTCTGGGGTGGGACCTCGGGACCATACGGATAAGAGGAGGGAAAGTGGGAGGGGGAGGAGGAGGATGAGGAGGAGGAGGATGAGGAGGAGGAGGAGGAGGAGGAGGAGGGAGATGCGTTCGGAGTGCATGTGGGGATCTGCGGGTGAAGAAGGAGGAGGATGAGGAGGAACCGGAGGAGGAGGAGGAGGATTATGTTGTTCCCTAGATCTACGTGTTGTATAGTGTGTTGGCCAGTTTGGACCCAACACCGTGTATCTCCAGCAGTATGTGTTGGGTAATGTACGTTGTGATATCTACTATGTGCCAGTGTGTAGTGGAATTTATGTGGTGCAACCTCTGTGGTACAATCTACCTTGTGCGCTTCAAGTGGTGATATCTATGTGGTGCAGTCTTTGTTGCGCACTACATGTGGTGCAGTCTACGTGTTGTAATCTATGTGGTGCAGCTTGTGTGGTGCAATTCACCCTGCGGCGGCGATTGCGATGATTGCTTGGCGCTGGCTGGCACATCTCTGCGGCTGCGCTAGCGTGCGCAGGCGCGCGCAGAACGACCAGCTAGTCTGGCGCGACCCACGCGGCCGCGGTGGCGCCGACCGTTGTGGACTTCGCAGCGCATCTCGCAGTCCGCGGTCACGCGCGGGCATTTCTGCGCGAGTCGGTGGCTCGGGTGGGCTCAGTGTCATGGCGACGTCAACAGCGGCGGACACGATGATGATAGTATCGGTGTTTGCGGCGATGATCACCATGACGGCGGCAAGGCCAATGACGGCGCCGATGCTGACCACACCGATGACGATGATGAAGTGCACGTGTCGGCGGTGAGAGTGCTGTAGAGATTTCGGCATGCGCGCGCAGCCAAGGCGCGCGAGTGGCCATCTTTGTCTTATGTGACGGGCCATGCCCCCCCTCCCAGCATGCGCGCAAAGGGCGTTCGAATGATTCCGACATGCGCGCGCAGGAGAGGCCTGTTCGGTCGCATGTTTGAAAAGTGTGTTGGAATTGCGGAATTTGCAGGAGCGCGCGCGCATCTTCTGTTTTGAAAGGCCATGGTGCCACACCAATGCTGTTTCACATGTTTCGGGGCAGTGGATCTGAAAACCGTACGGAACCCAAGGTGGTTGAAGGATTTGGGCTTGCGCGCGCGACGACGCGCGCGTGTGCACTCCGGTCCATCATCAGCAGATGGATGTTGCACATGGACGGTTGCTGATGAGCGGTTGTGCGCGCATCGTGTTCTTATGGCAAGGATGAACGGGGAGTCGATATCGCCTTGGCTGTTATGATATGGGCCCGTATAGAAAATGCACGATGGGGCTCACATAAATCTACATTGCATATCCCCAAAGGGGCGGACCTCCACGGGTGCGGAAATTGTCAGAGAGGGATGGTGATAGCCTCGAGTTCCTTGCTCGACTGGAAAAGCTGCGTGGCGCAGTCTATTTGGTGCAGTCGATGCTTCGCCGTCAATGATGTGGAACATATGTTGTGCAATAGTGGTGGTGCTATACTTGTCTGGTGCACGCGGTACAATATATATATATATATATATATATATATATGTATACAACATATATATGTATATATATGCATGTATATATATGTGTATTTGTGCAATATGATTGCAAACATATATGCACATGTACGTGCATATTTATTTATATATATAGAGATATGCATGTATTGTGCAATCTATGTTGTGGCGCCTATGTGGTGCAGTCTACGTTGTGCGGGGACGGGGCGGCGACCGCGAGCACATCATTGCCACATCGCCAGCCAGGCTCAGAGGACGGGCGGCGACGGGGCGGCGACGGCGAGCACGGACCTGCCAGACCGCCAGCCAGGCCCGGACGACGGGCGGCAACAAGGCGGCGACGGGCGGCGACACCGAGCAGATGGCCGCCACACCGCTTGCGTGGCCTAGACGACGGGCGGCGACGTGGGGGCGACGCGGGCACGGGACCGCCAGACCGCCAGCCAAGCCCAGTCTTTTTTTCGAGACGGAGCAAGAGCCCCTGATTGCAGGCTCTCTTGGGCAAACCCCCGGTGCTGCCCTCCCGGGCTCCCCAGATCGCTCAAGGAGGGCCTCATGACGGCTTTGAACGCCCCTGAGACGGGCAAGAATGTTCCAAGATGGCCCACGACGGCTCTCCTACAGCCCAGCAGACCGTCACCAGCGCCCACGAGGCTTCCAACACCGCCCGGGAGAGCTCCAGGGAAGGGCTCGAAAGGCAAAGGTTTGTAAAACACATATGGGCGATCCTGATAACCCTGAACCTAAGAATGTTTTCATCTATTGGAGGCGCATGTTGTACTTCCACCACCTTCCGCCGCCTTTCCGCCGGCTTCCGCCAGTGGAGGTGGCCTCGTTTTTCTTCTGCCGACCTTCCGCCGCCTTTCCGTCGCCTTCACGGCGGAAGAGATGACAATTCCTTCGATCTTCCAAGGCAAGGCCATGTTTGGAACGCCCCATATGGGACATCAGTTGTGTTTGCATTGCCGCTGTTCGTTTCTAATACGGTCCCCAGCTTGCGGTCTGACCCCCTCGAGGACCCCAGGATGCTTCCGATGGACGCCCCGAGCCGCCCCAAGAGGTTCCTCCAGGCCCAAGAGCCTCCAAGAGGCCCCAAGAGGCGCTACCAAGAGCCTCCAAGAAGAAGGCTTCCACGACGCCTACAAGAGGTCCCTGGGAGGCCCCGGGAGGCCCAGGCCCTACGAGTGGCCCCCAAGAGCTTCCAATAAGGCTTCCACGACGACTCCAAGAGGCCCCCATCAGACTCCCACGAGGTCTACATGAAGGCAGACGTGGAGCAGTCCTTTATAAGGGCGATGGCGGAGGGGGAGGACGGGCACGAGAGGGAGCTCGAACATGGAGGAGGAGGAGGAGGAGGAGGAGGAGGAGGAGGAGGAGGAGGAAAGCAAGGACGGGAGGAGATCAGAGAAGGAGGAGGTAGGAGGAGGAAGCGGCCGTAGGGGGCGGGAGAAGGAGACGGAGGCGGATGAGAGAAGCCGAGGGAGGAGGTGGAATCGGAAAAGGCCGAAGCACATGATGAGGCGGAGGAGGCCAACAATTCAGATTCGCCCCTGTGTCAGCACAGTTTTCATTTTATCGCG